TCTCCATCACATAAAATTCCCATCTGCATGAAATTCCCGCGCCTGTTTTCTTCAGCTTCACACGGGCTTCTCTGAGCCGCTGCACACGGCACGGTGTTTGTGGTCGGTGCTGGCAGACGCGGAGTCGATTTTCCCACGTCGGTCTCAGTTCCTGCGACTTGGCTGAACGCACTTGTTGGTGTCAGGATGCGGCTTAGCTTGCTTGTCTGCGGAGACAACGGAGGTTCTGCCAACAGGGACAGCTTCATGTCTGACTTGCCCATGTGCACATCTACTCCCTTTCCCTGCCTTGTTTCACCGGCCACAGCTGCCAGGACTGTGCCGGGTGAGGGTGGTGAGAATGGGCATCACCGATTCCCCGTCGTGCGGGGACAGCACTCCACCGGCAGCCGAAGCAGACGCGGGCTGTGGGCTTTCGCAGACACTTCCTGTCGGGCTGGGAGGTCCCTGCCACCCCCATCTATCCATGCATCTGGATCCTGGCTGGCCACTGTCTTCTTCAAGATCTAATTCACACGCCGTAAAGTCTAGATTTGCAGCTTTTCAGATATTCACGGGTGTGCGACCATCGCCCCGACTCCAGGGCGGTTTCAACCCCCAGAGCCCTGCACCCATCAGCTTCCTGCCTGCCCGCCTTCTCCCCGGATGCCGGGGACCGCGGCTCACCCTGACCTCCCCGGCTTTGCCTATCCTGGACACTTCGCAAAATAAAGACCATCCAGGAGAACCCTGAGGCTGACCTTTCATGTAGAATTCCGCATTCAAGCGTCATGCACGTGGAAGCATAGATCAGTGTTTCCTTCGTTGTATGCCTGAGATCCCACTGTGCGCTCATCGGTGCAGGACGGAGGGCACCTGGGCTGGACCAATGGCCGCCTGGGCTGGACTGATGGCTGTCTGGCTGGCTGGATGGCTGCCAGGGCTGGACCGATGGCCGCCTGGCTGGACCGATGGCTGCCTGACTGGACGGAGGGCACCTAGGCTGGACGGAGGGCGCCTGGGCTGGACTGATGGCCGCCTGGCTGGATGGAGGGTGCCTAGGCTGGATGGAGGGTGCCTGGGCTGGACCGATAGTCGCCTGGGCTGGACTGATGGCCATCTGGCTGGCTGGATGGCTGCCTGGGCTGGACCGATGGCCGCCTGGGCTGGACCGATGGCTGCCTGGGCTGGACCGATGGCTGCCTGGCTGGACTGATGGCCTCCTGGCTGGACGGTGGCCGCCTGGGCTGGATGGTGGCCGCCTGGGCTGGACCGATGGCCTCCTGGCTGGACGGAGGGTGCCTGGGCTGGACCGATGGCCGCCTTGGCTGGACCAATGGCCACCTGGCTGGACCGATGGCCTCCTGGCTGGACGGTGGCCACCTGGGCTGGACGGTGGCCGCCTGGTCAGCTGCATGCCCTCCCTCTCTGGCTGTGATGAATAACACCTGGGGGACCATTCACACAGAAACTCCTGTGTGGACACTGGTTTCCAATTCTCTAAGGCGTACACCAGAGGGGAACCCCGGTCATACGGGGACCTCACGGTCAGCGCGGTCCCCTCCAGTTTATGCCCCCAGCAGCAAAGCACGCGTGAACTTGTTTTTGCCGCATTTTCACCAACACCTGCTCTCATCCGCCTTTCGGATCCAGCAGTCCTGGGGGCCGGGCAGCTGCGTCTCACCGTGGCTGTCACTTGCGTTTCCCGGACGACAAACGCGAGGAGCAGCCTCTCAGGTGCTGTTCGGCCGTTTGCGCATCTTCTTTGGAAAATGGGCATTCAAGTCCTTCTTTGGTGACTTGTCTCTCCGTGACCGAGCTGTGCTCTGGGCACCGGACCCGCAGCCGGTATCCGTCTACACAGATTTCCTCCCGTTCTGCCGGCTGCTGTCTTCCCACCTTGGCGACAGGGTCCTTTGAAACACAGATGCTTTAAATGCTGGTGAGACCCAAGTCATCTGTTTCTCCTCTTCTCTCTGCATTTTGGAGAAACACCTGAGAACCACCGCGCCATCACAGGCCACGGAGCCTGCCCGCAGCGCTGCTTCTCGGAGTTTTATAGCTTTGGTCTCACGGCGAAGCCTCTGACCTGTCCTGCGCTGCTTCTGTGCTGGGCGTGGCCGGGGTTCCAGCTCCCCACCCCGCCGGGATGTCCAGCCGGCTCGGCGCAGATGCCCACGGCTGACGGAGCCGTCAAGGCGCCTTGCTTGAGTGTAAACGCAGGGTTTATTTCTGGACTCACCACCGGTCCACACATGAATCCACATCTTGTGGATCAGATTCAAATGCCCTCCTCACGGTTTTTTCATTTAAAAAAAAAAAAAAAAAAGCTGGCGCAGTAGGCTGAGCCTCCTCCTGCAGTGCCGGCATCCCATAAGGGCGCCCGTTCAAGTTCCGGCTGCTCCACTTCCAGTCCAGCTCCCTGCTAACGCACCTGGGAAAGCAGCAGAGGACGGCCAAGTGCCTGGGCCCCTGCACCCGCGTGGGAGACCCGGATGGAGCTGCTGGCTCCTGGCTTCAGATCGGCGCAGCTCTGGCCATTGCAGCCATTTGGGGAGTGAACCAGTGATGGAAGACCTCTCTCTCTGTCTCTCCCCCTCTCTCTGTCTGTAACTCTGCCTCTCTCTCAATAAATAAATAAATAAATAAACCTTTAGTTTCCGTCGTGCTGTTTATGGGATGCCAACTCGTGTCCTGTTGGAAGCAAGGCTATTTCACCCACTTCCTGTTTTTGCCGTTTCTGGATGAGGGTGCACCTTCCAGGCAACGCGCCCGGGGACTCAGCTGTGCGCATCCGCCGCAGCTGCAGGTGCGACAGATCTGTCCGCCACATGGCCCTGGGGACGGAGATGGACAGGGCTGCAGGCAGGGGCGCGTCTGGAAGGAGCGGGGGTGCAGGCCAAGCTCTGGTTTCCAGCCTTCGACCTCAGCGAAGGCAAGCACAGTTCCGGCCCCCTCCCACGGGAGACATCCCAGAAGCAGCCTGAGGACCCTCCCTCTCCCTGCTCGCCATCACAAGACCCCACATTCTGGCGCCAGGACCAATGCATCCTCTCAAGGCTCCAGCAGCCCCACACGCCAGCACCCACCGCAGACCCAAACTGTGGCTGCCCGATGGGCCCAGCCGTGTCCCAGGCCTGCTAAGGGGTGTGGGCAGCCGTGGGCAGCTATGGGGGGCTTCGGCCTGCTCCAACACTGCCCCGCGCAGACGGGCACCGGGCTTATCTTCCCCTCCAGCCGCGCCCAGCCTGGAATCCACCACTGGGGAACAGCTCAGCGAGAGAAGCTGGACAGACACCCAGGACCCAGTGACACTCCTGGCCTGACACCTGCGCTCCCGACACCAGCACCCAGTGACACCCCTGGCCTGACACCTGTGCTTCCGACACCAGCACCCAGTGACACCCCTGGCCAGACGCCTGTGCTTCCGACACCAGCACCCAGTGACACCCCTGGCCTGACACCTGTGCTCCCGGACACACTAGGACCCCAGTGACACCCCTGGCCTGACACCTGTGCCCCCGACACCAGCACCCAGTGACACCCCTGGCCTGACACCTGTGCTCCCGGACACACTAGGACCCCAGTGACACCCCTGGCCTGACACCTGTGCCCCCGACACCAGCACCCAGTGACACCCCTGGCCTGACACCTGTGCTCCCGGACACACTAGGACCCCAGTGACACCCCTGGCCTGACACCTGTGCTCCCGACACCAGCACCCAGTGACACCCCTGGCCAGACGCCTGTGCTTCCGACACCAGCACCCAGTGACACCCCTGGCCAGACGCCTGTGCTCCTGACACCAGCACCCAGTGACACCCCTGGCCTGACACCTGTGCTCCCGGACACACTAGGACCCCAGTGACACCCCTGGCCTGACACCTGTGCTCCCGGACACACTAGGACCCCAGTGACACCCCTGGCCTGACACCTGTGCTCCCGACACCAGCACCCAGTGACACCCCTGGCCTGACACATGTGCTCCCGACACCAGCACCCAGTGACACCCCTGGCCAGACGCCTGTGCTCCCGACACCAGCACCCAGTGACACCCCTGGCCTGACACCTGTGCCCCTGACACCAGCACCCAGTGACACCCCTGGCCTGACACCTGTGCCCCTGACACCAGCACCCAGTGACACCCCTGGCCTGACACCTGTGCTCCCGGACACACTAGGACCCCAGTGACACCCCTGGCCTGACACCTGTGCTCCCGACACCGGGCGAGGCCCGCGGGGGACGAGGCTGGGACTCCTGCCCGTGTGCAGCGTGGCTCTGGCCCGGGCAGGCACCTGTGGACAGAAGCCGGCCGCCCAGGAGCCACCGCTGACGGGAACGTGCAGGACTCGGTACTGTGCACGCGTCACGGGCCGGGCGGGTGCAGACGGACACCCGCAGCAGACGGCACCCCGGGGCCACCGCAGCACCGCTTCCCCCAGATGGGGCCCGGCAGGCCGGAGTCACCCGGCCGCCTTGCGGGGAATCCACCTCGCAGGCGCAGGCACTGCAGGGGAGACCCCTTTTTAATTCCTTTTTTAAAGCGACAACGCCCCCGAAAGAGCCCCACCAACAGCCAATCAGAGACCGGATAACCAAACAGCAGCCACAGCCCCGGCGGATTGGCAGCTGGGGCGGGTGGCCTGGCAGCTGCCGGGCGGTGACGTCACTTCCGGGGCGGGGCCGGGCCGCGCGGCGGTCTCCATGGCAACCAGCGGGCCCGGCGCTAGGCCCGCCCGCCGCCGCCGCGCCGGCCCCGCCCGCACAAAGGCCGCGCCGTGACCCGCCCTGCCGCGGGCGCTGCACCTGCCGGAGCCGCCATCGCCGCCGCCGCCTGGGCCGCGCTGACCGGGACGCCTCCGCGGTGACTCCTCGGCCCGCCCGGCGGACGGAGCCCCGGGGAGCCCAGGTACGCGCGCCCGCCGCCCCCCGCCGCGCAGGTGCAGCCCCTTTGTCCTCCCCGGGGGTGGGGTGGGGGAGGGGGCTCCGGGGGGCCCAGCGCGGCCGCGCCGCCCACGCACCTCTTACAAACAACTCCATTTTCTTGCTCCTCCAGGGCCCGGCCGCCGAGGCCGCGTGAGAGGCGTGGGCAGCAGCCGCACCTGCGCCCGGGGCCCGGGCCCGGCGTCGCCCCCGGCCTCCCCGGCCGCCCCGTCCGGGGCGCGGGGCCTGGCCCCCCCGGTCGGCATGGTGCAGCCGCAGGCCGCCAAGGCCGGAGGCACGGCCGCCGCCGCCGCCGCCAGCGCCCCGATGGACGACGTGATCGACACCCTGACCTCGCTGCGCCTCACGAACTCGGCGCTGAGGCGCGAGGCGTCCACGCTGCGGGCCGAGAAGGCCAACCTCACCCACATGCTGGAGAGCGTGATGGCCGAGCTGACGCTGCTGCGCACGCGGGCGCACATCCCCGGCGCGCTGCAGATCACGCCGCCCGTGTCCGCCATGGCCTCGGGCGGCTCGAGGCCGCTGACCACGCCGCCCACCTCCCTGCCCGAGCCCTTCTCCGGGGACCCGGGCCAGCTGGCCGGCTTCCTGATGCAGATGGACAGGTTCATGATCTTCCAGGCCTCTCGCTTCCCGGGCGAGGCGGAGCGCGTGGCCTTTCTCGTGTCGCGGCTGACCGGCGAGGCCGAGAAGTGGGCCATCCCGCACATGCAGCCCGACAGCCCGCTGCGGAACAACTACCAGGGCTTCCTGGCCGAGCTGCGCAGAACCTACAAGTCCCCGCTGCGCCACGCGCGGCGCGCGCAGATCCGCAAGACCTCGGCCTCCAACCGGGCGGTGCGCGAGCGGCAGGTGCTGTGCCGCCAGCTGGCCGCCGCCGGCACAGGGCCCTGCCCGGTGCACCCAGCGTCCGGCGGGGCCGGCCCGGCGCCCGCGCTGCCCTCGCGAGCGCGGAACCTTTAAGCGCTCGCGTGTTCTGCTGCGCGGAGGAACTGTGCGTTCTGCAGTCCTGCCCGCGCCCGCGCCCACGCCCACGCCCACGCGTGAAGCTGCCCCCTCCGCCTCTCCAGGCCCAGCCGGCTGCGACTCCGAGTGCATGCTCCCCCGCCGCTCGCGACCCCCGCCGCATCCCGGCTGCCCCTCTGCCACTCGCGAGCCTCACTCAGCACGGGGGCCACCGTTGCCCGCGTCGCTGAGTTCCTGCTGATGAGCTCTGGACCTGGAACAGGGGTCTCGTGCCCCCCACTCCCCTCCGCGGGTGGTGACACCCTGCAGGAGGGTGCCTCTGGCATTCCTGGGGGCAGGCCTTGCCTCGGCCGGTGATCTGCTGCCTGGTTTGCCTGTGGCTGCACAGGGAAGGACCTGCTGGGCAGTGGATGGGAGACGCCCCCTCGGCTGAGCGCTGGCCCAGGGCGGGCAGCAGCCCTGCGTCCCCAGCGGTGTCCGGTCCCTCGTGGTGAGCCTTGCCGGGCTTGATGCCCCTGCCCGCCTGCGTTCAGGTGCCCTGTGGCCTCTCTCCGAGCCCCCGCGCCCCCTCCAGGTCTGCAGTGGCCTGCTGACTGATCCCGTGCCCAGCCGCTGTCCAAGGGAGGGGTAGACGGCCTCTGAGCTGGAGGCAGGGGCGTGTCTGCCTCTGGTGGCCGCAGCCGGGGCCGTGGTGGTGTTTGTGGAGGTGCGGAGCTGCGACGGCCCCGACCTGGTGGAGCGATGGTGCGGAGCCGGCACGCGTGTCTTGGACCCGAGGGACGGAACTGCACCACCTGGAGCGGACGGCCAAGAGGTCACTGCCTGGGACTTGCGGCCCGGTGGACTGGTGCCCCCGCTGTGTCTCAATGCCAGATGGCCCACCGAGGTGGAACATGGTGGTTTGCCCTGGGCTGGCCTGCACCGGTGTGGGTGGTCACGCCGGGCCAAGGAAGGACCCTGTGCGGCCTGTGTGCGGGGATCCCGGAGCTTGGCTCCCGCGGCTCCTGCGGCTTGCTGGGGAGGTGACTGCGACTGAAACGGGCGGGGACACTCGTGGCTGCCGGGGCCCATGGCCACTGTCGCATGCTCCTCGTAAACTCTCAGCTCGGCCGCCCGGTTGAAGAGCCGCCTGGAGACGGGTCTGGGTTCCCCTGGACTTGACCGAGGCCGTTTAGGTGGGGCCGCGGTGCTCACTAAGCAGGAGTGGGGGTGCAAGCCCCCTTCCCTGTGCTCAGCTCTGTCTCCAGCAGCCGTACTGTAAAATTTGCACCTGCCCAGCAGAGAGGCTCCGGGGGAAGGGGTACAGTGGCACCTGGGGCAGGGGAGAAGACCCCTGGTGGGTTTCCACGGGGCCCTGCCTAGCCGGGGGTGGGGGGGGGGACCGCCTCCTGGAAGCGGAGCAGGTACTCAGCCCCGGTGATGGGTGCCGTGCTGGGGGGTGCTGCTCGCACTGGCGCCACAGCCATGGTCACGTGGGCGGGGCTGGCCACTGCAGCCCGAGCCGCTGTCCTGCGTGCACTTGCGGTGGACTTCGACCTTCCTGATGGCTCCTTGTGCCTTTGGGACCTGGAGCAGATGAGAGAAGGTCAAGGAGTGGCTTTCCCATGGGCCCCGGGTGGGGCTCAGGCTCGGGGAGCTGGCGGAGACCCCTGTGGGAGACCCCTCAGGCCTGAGCCCAGGAAGATGGCTGAGAGGGGCGCCAGGCTGAAGCCGGGCGGGGGAAGGCAGAGGCTTTGGCGCTGCAACTCTGAGAGCAGGTGTTGACGTATGAAAGGGACAGGCAGCGGTGGTGCGCAGGCGTGAGGAGGGACGTGCATCCGTTCCCGTGCCCACGTGGTGCCCTGGCTGGTAACCCACCCCCTCCATCTTCTGTGGACAACTGCAGGGGCTTCGGTGTAGGAGCAGCACCCTGTCCCCTGGGACTGTGGCCTTGGCGTTCGTGTTTCCTGTTGAAGCCCCTCCGTGGCTCCCGGGAAGCAGGGAGGATCCGTTTCCTTGGCCACGGAGCTGCCACTGGCCGAGCAGGGCCCTGGCGGCCGGAAGGGAAGTGGGGGAGCTGGGCACGTGCCAAGGTCTCCTTGGGGAGGGGTCCTTGCAGCTGAGCTCCCGGCTGTGTGGGTCGCGCAGGTGGAGGGGGTTTGAGAGAACGGCCTAGGCGGGGCCCCTGGGGAAGGCAGCGAGAGCCGGTGCTGTGGCCAAGGGGCAGTTTCCTGTGAGGGTGGGCTGGGCGCAGGGCGCTCCGCCGGGCGTGGGCGTGGGCCTGTCCGTGTCTCAGGACCTAGCCCGGGGTCATGTGGCGGTCAGCACCACACGGACGTGGATGAGGAGGGAGGGGACGGTGCTCCTCACTGCCATAGCTCTAGCGCCTTGCAGCGAGCCAAGTACCGTGGGACGCCGGTGCCTCCTGCAGGCCTCTCACCCCCTGGCCATGGCTTCTTTGCATTTGGTTTTTCCCCGGTTCTGCTACAGTACAATTTTGCGTAGCTGCACTGACCACATGTTCGGCCCTCACCCATGTCCCTAGCCGGCTTTACTCCGAGTTGGCTGCACTCTCCCAGCAGGCGGGTGGAAGCCGTGGCCCCAGCGTCAGCGGACGTCCTGGGGCGGCCCCCGGAGGGGCCTCCTGAGTGAAAGTCGTGGAAACCTTGCAGGCTCTGATTCCCCGTCGGCACAGAGGCTTCCGCTTAGCGGAGCTATTGGCGTTCCTGCGCGCTGCCACCAGCCGGAAGGGCGTGCCCATCTCGCCAGTACTGGCCCTTGGCGCCAGGCTGACCTTTTGCTGTCTTGATCCTGAGAACATAGGCTTGTGTTTGCGTTTCTTTGATTTCTAGCACAGTTGAGCATCGTTCTCGTTAAACGGCTGTGTCTCCTCTCTCGTGGGTTGTCACTGTCCTTGGCTCTGCCTAACGGGGTCTGATAACGGTTGTATGGGCTCGATACCTATTAAAGATATTAACCTGGTGTGTGTCGTTTGCCGCAGCTGGCTGTGCGATGGCTTCGCCCACTCAGCACCACGCCCACTAGACCGACACGGGACAGGCAGGTGCAGTCCGTCCGTCAGCACCTGTGACAGCGCCTGGCGCGTGGTTTGGCACTGAGTGTGCCGGTTGTTGGGGTCCCGGGGGGGTGGGGGTCTCCGGATTCTTGCGTTGGAAATCACTGAGGACCCCAGAGAGCTTTTGCTCGGTTGGTCTGTCAGTCCCCATCATCCGCCATGAACTGCATATTGCTACAAAGTGTTTTCCAAAGCAACAGGTTAGAAGAGTGACATTGTTTTCTGTTTGCAACTGTCCTCGGCCTCACAGCAGCTGCAGCCCGCAGCCTGCTCCCGGAGTTCGTCTGTGCAAGGGCACCTGGTGCGCGGCGGGGCCGGAAGCAGCACGCCAGCCTCGCAGAGCCTGCTCTGCGGTGTCTCCACTGCTTTCAGCCTCGGGTCTCCGCGTCCCCTGATGCGGCCACTTCCGGGATTAATTTGGCACACGGACTCCAGCGGGCGTTCAGAGGTTTAAACGGATACCCAGCAATGGTAAATCCTCCTCCATGGGCCCGCTCTCCCCGTCTCCCACGGGCCTCGTGTGTGCCAGGTCGGCTCTTCTCCCGCCCATGCGTTGGTTTTGCCGGCTTCTCCCTGTGTGGACGGATTAGGCTTTGAGCTTTTGTATTTGTGCCTGGCAGGGCCCCTCCCCCCTCCAGATCTTCACTGTTCTCACCAGACAATCGCTAACAGATTCAGGAGTCTTCCAGAGTAGGGTAGCAGGTGCAGGGCCTGGAGAGGAATTCTGCCCTGGGCTGGGCGGCTCCGTCTCCCAGGCAACAGGGGGCCTGGCCCCGCCCTCTGGCTGGTGCCTGCCTGGGAAGAGAAACCAAAACCTGCCCAGCTGGCCTGGCCAGTGCCCACCGCCATGGAAACATCTAGAACGGTGCATTGTGCCCTCCTGTGATTGGTCCTTCGAGGCTGACAAGAGCCTGCCTGCCCCACCCCCGTTTTGCCCACGGAGGCCCAGCCCACTGTCTGGCCTGGTGTGAGGATCCTGGTTGGACCTGGGCCTCCGTCCTCGCCGACTCTGAGACTCAGCTGTGCCTGCCCCGCCGGCTCTGAGGACGTCCGGCAGAGGCCGCACCGCCGCCGGCCCACACCTGCTCCCCAGGCCCCGACGCTTCTCCCTTCTGCCCGGTTCCGTTCCGCCGCCCCAGCCCTCCCGGGCCGGGTCCAGCCTGCCTTGCTCTCCCGATGCCACTCCTCCTAGGACCCTCCCTG